ATTGCAGTCATAGATGGTTGATTCCGGTGATAAGTCAAGTTACTGTCATGGATGAATAATTTTGGTGACAAATCAAGTTAGTCATGGATGATTGATTCTGGTGACAAGTCAAATTGTGGTCATGATGTTTGATTCCAGTGACAAGTCAAGTAGTAGTCATGGTCGATTGATTCCAGTGACAAGTGAAGTTACTGTCATGCACGATTGATTCTGGTCATGATCGATTGATTTCAGTGATAAGTCAAGTTACTTTCAACACAAACTGGTCATTTCGGAACTAATATGAATCAGTTTTATTTCAATGATTGATTGATTCCAGTGATAAACGAACTAAACAGGAGACAGAGAGTGATAGAGGGGGTGTGGGATATCCATCCACTCAACCAAAACTTGGTCACTTTGGTACTTACATGGCACATTCTTATTTCAACACAAGGTTGAACAGACAACACTACTCCTTGTCACATATTAGCATGGAATCGAAACCACGCCAGTTGACTCAATGACAGGTGTTATGATCTAACGTGCACGCAATAAACCATTCAGCCACTCACCCCGCCCTTCTCCTCCTCCTCTGTTCATGACTGTGGAATTGGATGGCCGAATGGTTAGCACATGTTGACTGTATCATAACTGGTGTTGTTTCTATTTAACAGTTGTATGTGGCAGGGAGTAGGATCGCCTGTCCAAACTCGTGCGTTTTCTCCAGGTCCCCCGGTTTCCTCCCACTGCTAAAGACCGCTATGTGCAAGTGAATTGTTGAAATAAAATTGAACCATGTGTTAGTCCCGAAATGACCTAATATGTGTCGAATGGACGTTAAACCCCAATTCTCTCTCTCTCTCTCTCTCTCTCTCTCTCTCTCTGTCCATGACTAGATGAGAAGAGAAGAAAACGTGAGTGTCAATTAGACCCCATATGGTTTTAGGTGCATAGAGATAATCCACCAGATGTAAAATTGGTGCTGGTTTTGTTTGCACACTAAGGGGAGATAATTATGTAATAACACCACTTCTGACTTTCTGCCATTTGTTAAATGTATATAATTTCATATAATAATAGATAAATAGTCTGAGGCCATAGGATAATTTCTTTTGAGGATCCATTGGGTGTGTGCTTAATAGACGATGTCTGGTTTTCAGAGCAATTATTGTAATTTTTATCATTATTTAGATTGAATCGGGATGAAAGTCTACGCCCGCGGGTTATATACAAAACATTGCCCACAGCAAACAAAACAAATCCGTACAATTCAACGTTTTTATTTTTCACCAAAACTGAAACAGCCATGTCTTTTTAAAATATAAAATAAATGTACCAGTATTTGATTACAGTTTATTTTTAGATTTAATCATTGTTTTTGTTGTTTTGCATGCGTTTCTTTGTAATAGAAATACATCCAATTATTGCTATTCCAATTTTAGAAATCAGATATTCTTGTTTTGGGTAAATAAGAATAATTTGTACTATTGTGAGACAGAAAAGTTCAAACTACATGTTGTTATGTGTAAATAAGAATAATTTGTACTATTGTGAGACAAGAAAAGTTCAGGACTACATGTTGTTTTGCAGGAAAAATGTTTGTTATTCCTCCTCTTCTTTCTTTATTTTCTATACAACTTTAGATATAGCTGACGTCACTTAGACGGTGATCTACATGTTTACAGAGACACCATAATGATTTTTCAATTATCAGTGATATCAGTGTGACAGTCCTTCGACAGGATATTATTCAGTTTCTTCCCGGACCTCCCGTATAGGTAGAATTAGACAATAACTGTCTTTTCTCGATATTTCATTGTTTGCCAAATCTCAGTATAGATTTAAATTAATTGCCTGTTTAAATCCTGTTATATCTTTCCTTCGTAAGCCTCCTGATTCGCTATAATAAATTTAAAACAATGATTGAGATTTCCTGATGCTTGTGTGTGTATAGATTTAATTAATTGGTTATTTATTGACTGTATTTATTTTCTACGAGAACCTTCGGTGTCAGTAAAATACATTTAAAAACAATGACAGATTCTTCTTTATGTGTGTGTAGACTACTGTATTGAAAGAGGTGTTCCAGGAAAAAAAGAAAGTGCATGGTTTAGGTGCAACCTTCTACAGCGCCTTGAGAAACATTTGCCATACCATACGTGTCCCAAATCCACCCATGAGGTCGACTAACTGGGTCAGTTTGAAAGAGGTGTTCCAGGAAAAAAAGAAAGTGCACGGTTTAGGTGTACCCTTCTACAGCGCCTTGAGAAACATTTACCATACCATACCATGTCCCAAATCCACCCATGAGGTCCACTTACTGGGTCAAACTTTTATCATTTACTGTTATAATCATGACCGATGTTTAGCCCTATTTCTTTTCCACGGTGGCTAAGTGGGTAAGACGCCCATCTTCATTAGCCCAGTCGAATCAGAACAGTAGGAAATTAAACCCAATTTCATTTTTTTTATTTCATTGATTAAGTCAAAAATGTGTAAGCCCTCTTTTGACTTTATCAACTGTTGTAATTATTAAATGATTATAAATATGTGTTGTTCAACCACTTGTTGGGCTTCTATTGGAAATGTATTACATCTCTCCCCCCTCCCACCACAATTTGATCTAAGTGTAAGTTTGCACATCAGTGCTGCAATTCATCAGCTGTTGAAATTATTAATTCATGATAATTTTCAGTTGAATGCATTATTGTATCTTCATGCATGAGAAATACACAGAATATGGTTTGCTTTTTTTAAGTAATGATTTTGCCTTTGGTTATTGCGTGGTTAATATGGTCGTCAAATTAATGTTTAAATAAACAAGCTGGTTTATTTGTTTCTAGAGATGTCATTAGTTCTGCTACTGACTTTGGACGTCATGGTAAAAAAAATCATTAAACTGTTGGCAGAATAATTAATATGATTTATAATACAATGAAACCACATAAATGTACTGAATTTATATTGGGTAAACATTCTAATTAGCTTTTAGATATTGAATGAAAGCGTAAACTAAGGGATATTTGAAATATACTGGTATATTTAATTCAAGTGTTTGTTTAATGTGGGTATTTAGTGCTAAAACAGCAAAACTTACATTTGATGTCCTAGAAATATCCCTTTCAGATGCAGCGAACAAATTATCAGGCAAGGTTTAAACGATAACTGATGTTTTTAGCTTTGATACAAAATTCCTTTTAAGAAATTACTAAAATATAGACAAGAGAACTGCAGTGCAGGACAGGATCAGAATTGGAGTCGGACATGGTTTGTCTCGTTTCCAAGCCTGGCCATTTTCGAACTAATACTTCTTGTTAAAAGGAAATACATGTAGGTATGTTTCAGCAGACACTCTGGGAATTTCTTGTCAAAGTGACTTAACTAGTTCTATGACGTTTTCAAGCAAATTGTTTATTAGTTGATTACTTTTGCATTGATGTCACAAATGGACAGTTTAGTCTAGCTAGAGAGGTGTAAAGGACTGTATTGTCTAGGGGTCAGAAGGAGAGTATAGTCTAGGTGTCTTAAGGGCAGTATAGTCTAGGGGTTTAAAGGATAGTATATTCCCTGCAGTCTAAAGGACAGTATAATTTAAGTGTTTTAAGGACAGTATTGTCTAGGGGTCTAAATTAAAGGACAGTATAATCTAGGTGTTTAAGTATAGCCTAGGTGTCTTAAGGACAGTATAGTCTAGGGGAGTGAAGGATAGTATAGTCTAGGGGTGTAAAGGATAGTATAGTCACTGTGGTCTACAGGACAGTATAATTAGGTAGGTGTCTAAAGGACAGTATATTCTAGGGGTCTAAAGGACAGTATAATCTAGGGGTTTAAAGGACAGTATAGTCTAGGTGTCTAAAGGATTGTATAGTCACTATGGTCTAAAGGACAGTATAATTTAGGGGTTTAAAGGACAGTATAGTCTAGGGGTCTAAAGGACAGTATAGTCACTATGGTCTAAAGGACAGTATAATTTAGGTGTCTAAAGGTCAGTATAATTTAGGTGTCTAAAAGACAGTATAAGTTAGGTCTAAAGGAGAGCATAGTCTAGGGGTCTAAAGGACAGTCTAAGCATTTAAATGACAGTATAGTCTAGGGGTCAAAAGGACAGTCTAGGAGTATAAAGGACAGTATAGTCTAGGAATTGAAAGGAAAGCATAGTCTAGGAGTCGACGGGAAAGTATAGTCTAGGAGTCGAAAGCACAGTATAGTCTGGTGGTCTAAAGAGAACTTCCATGTCTGTTTAATGGAAATGCCAGACACCTTTTGATCGCCTATGGCTTTTAACGTGTGCATCTGCAACTGCAAGAAGTCATCAGCAAGCTTACTGATGCTTTTTAAATCATGCTGATCATTCTATCTCTTTTAATTGCCATATTCTCCTCTTTCAATTTGAAAGTCATTCATTAGGATTTTTTCATCCATTTCACTGATATCAATATTGATAAGTCTCGATGATGGAAAAAAAACCCAAGTGATTGTGTTTTCCTATTATGACCTTTCAAGGTATCAAATGAGTTCATATATTCCCAGGTACCTTTAAGTATACAGGTACACCGTGTCTTATGAATGTGATATATACCGGTGTGTTCACTGAAGTATAACACAGTTAGATCTTATAGATCTATAAATAGTCCTGTAAATAAACCATTCAACCATTTTTAACACGATTTTTGTTGACAAACTGTATATTTCCGGTATTAGATGTAGGTGTCCATGTTTATTGCGGATGGTGAAGGAGGATTGTTAAACAGCCAAGGACAAAACAAACAGTACAGTTAGCTAAGTTGTATCTATTAATATTTGTTTGAATGAAACCATTCAACACATTTGTTGTTGTTGTTAAACTGTATATACAGTGTTAGATGTATGTGGATGGTGAAGAAGGACGACTGTTGAATAAACCATGGACAGAACAAACAGTACAAACAGTACAAGAACACAGCACCTAAAACAATGAACAACATTAAACCTTGATTTCAAACTGAATAAACACTTCAGCTACACAAACACTGAGGACTCCAGGTGGTTATTACACCTGTTTTTTCAGGTGATTTCACAGGAGAAAGCTCATCCTGCTTCTATCGATGTCTCTCATGGACAGAAAACTATCAGTCAGGAAAGAACCTAATACAGCCACTGCATGGTTATATTATATAAACCAGGTCATTTTGGGACTAAAATATTGTTCAATTTTATTTCAATAATTTGCATGCGCGTAGGGGTCTTTAGCAGTGGGAGGAAATCGGAGGACCCGGAGAAAACCCACGAGGTTGGACAGGTGACCCTACTCCTTGCCATATACAACCGGGGAATCGATTATATAAAGTGATATGCAATGATATGTTATAATGTGGTGAAGTAGAAAATATTCCAAACTTATTACAGCGACAGCTGTTTCTGTGTTTTTATAACATGAATATTAAATTTACAGTCAATAAAATCAGCATGTGGACAGAGACTGTAACTTTATAGTACTGCTTATGTGTCAAATATACAAGACATATTATTATTAAACTTTATGGTTACCAGTTGTAACTTACAATTGTGTAGCTAAAGTTCGGAGCAAAACAGTAGGACGTTTAATCCCATTTCATTTCGTTAGTGTAGCTAAAGCATTTTAAAGGATACAAAAGTGTTGAATTTCAATTACTTTTATGGAGTACTTTAATGGGTTATTAGTTAATGAATTATTAATAGGTTACACTTATATGGATAGTTAGTAGAATTTCTGAAATTCAAAATGGCTGATGGACTGAAGCCTGAAACTGTAGCTCTGTTATCACCAGATACAGAAGATGACGATCCTCAAATTGCTGGTGTTGAAATGGTATGTAAATATACAGCATCTCTGAAAGATGGTGCCTTTTCTCTTGACGGTTGCCTCTTTCCATTTGTCATTGGTTTGTAATTTTGCAAGTGTCATGCCAGGGCCAACAGCTTGTTAATTATTTGTGTGTGTGTGATTAGGGCATAAATTAAACCAGAAAAGGATATTTGTCTGAGAAGTGAGGTCAAGAGAATCACCCCAACTGATATTATTGCAAGAGATATTTAAAATTGGAGTAATTGCAAATTGTTGATGGGGGTGGGGGGGGGGGGGCATGGAGATGGGCATTGGCACGGATTCCAGTGTCTATGGACCTGGTAACACAAAAACACACATATGAAGGGTTATCTCAACTAGCAAAAGATGGCTCTTATGGCAGTATGATACAAGAAAAGAACAACATGGTTACTTGTACTCATTCTGATTGTACACTACTTTTTTAAATGTGAATATTTTAATAATTTTTTTCAGAAAAATTTCACAGGAGCATGAAGTTTTTTATTGCACACTAATATAGACTCCTATTTTGTCACTATTTCTGAACACGCTTCAATAATATATGACATGCTCAATGCATACACACCCCTTCTCAGAATGGGAAACATTTTTTGGCCCATTAGGTTCTTAACTTAACACAGTGTCTTGTTTGAGATCATTAAACAACTTCAAATACAGACACTATCCAGCATGTGCATTTCAATGAAATCGTCATGTGAGACCAATATTTCATCTAGTATAAATAATGTACGATTGGCACGTTGCCAGTACATTAGTTGAAATGAGAGAGAGAAAAATTGGGTTTAACGTCCACATGACACAAACTAGGTCATTTCTGGACTAACATATGGTTAAATTTTATTTCAATAATTCGCTTGCGCATAGGGGTCTTTAGCAGTGGGAGGAAACCAGAGGACCCAGAGAAAACCCACCAGATTGGACAGGCCACCCTACTCCTTTTCACGTACAATCAGTGAATCGAAACCACGCCAGTTGACTCAATGACAGGCCTTATGATACAGCACACACAAGCTAACCATTCGGCCATCCAAACCCCCTTATTTGAAATTATAGTTTACTAACATTAAAGGATGACGTTGCATCTGTATTTTAAAGTATGAAGAAGAAACCATGTCCAATAACTGTAGAATAAATAACAACAGCATTGTGGTAAATGTTCTAAATGAATTCATTCTTTAAACAAGACTATAAATTCAGTGTAGTATAAACAGCTTATTATGACAATAGACCAGGTGTGGAAATATTTATTTTAGGTGTATCCAACAAAATGTCACATTTATTGAACATACTTTTGTATTAAAAACATCAACAAATAAAAATACTGAGAAAAAGCAGACACATCTGTACCAGACGTCTGACATCATCTGTGACAAGAGCCTTATTTTTACACTTGCATTCTAAAAATCAACCATGACCAACCTGTTTTTTGTGTAGCTATCTTTAAAAGGCACAAGGCTCTATTCTTTGGAACCCAGAAATGGACAAAAATGTTTCTAAAAGCACCTAATAATGTAATATGAATGTATTTTCCGTGAATGGTTAACGAGTGCGCGTTTGATCATAAGGTCTGTCATTGAGTCAAGTGGTGTGGTAGGGTCGCTTATCCAACCTTGCGAGTTTTCTCTGGGTCCTCCGGGGGATCACGTTGCTAAGTGGATAAGACGCTGGCTCGCTAGCCTGGAAGTCGGGTGTTCGATTCCTGCATTGGCCGAGAAAGTTCATCCAGATTTTCCGGCGTGGTTCCCCCTTGTCAGTGATGCAGGACAGAGGGCCTGACAAGGACAGCTGTCTAGTCCTTCGGATGAGACGAAAAACCAAGGTCCCGTGTATACATTGGAATGCACGTAAAAGATCCCTTGGCAGTTGTAATTCGATATAGGAGCAGAACTGTAGGACGTTAAACCCCATTTCATTTCATTTCATTTCTCTGGGTCCTCAAAGTTCTTCCCACTGCTAAAGACCCCTATGCGCAATCGAATTATTGAAATAAAATTGAACCATGTATTAGTCCAGAAACGACCTAGTTTGTGTTGTGGGGATGCTCGCTCTCTCTCTCTTTCTCTCTCTCTCTTTCTCTGACAAAACCTGACTATTGTTTAAATAGTACTGATATCAGTATTAATGTTCTCAAGAAACATGACAAATCTATTTTATCTCGGAACATGCCAATGGTAAATATATTCTCCCCTCGAAATCTGTGGGCTGTTACAAACGTATTTCTGGTTTTCAATAGACATCTTACATTAACATCAAAAGAAAGATTTTTAGCATGAATGGCAAAACCTTTTAGGAAAATTAATGTTCAAACATTAAGTTGCAAGGAGTTTGCATAACCAAATGATTTCCTACCAAATTTAGCAGACATCAATTGAAATTTTACAGGGCCTTAGAATCTACCATTGCAAGATGATTCTGACTGAACAATGTTTTTTAGACATAGTGAAAGCATTTTTGTGAGGCATTAATTTTAAGTTTTGTTTAGTAGCAGGAATTAGGTTGGCACCAGGATTTAACTGACTAGCTATAGAAATCTGTCATTTAAAGATGGCGACGCTCTTTAATCAAGTATTCCTCTCTGACGTTTTTAAGGTTAAGTTTTGTTCAGAAGCAGGAATGAGATTGGTATCATGGATTTAACTGACTAGAGAAATCTGTCGTTTAAAGATGGCGACGCACTTTAATCAAGTATTCCTCTGTGACGTTTTTAAGGTTAAGTTTTGTTCAGAAGCAGGAATGAGATTGGTATCATGGATTTAACTGACTAGAGAAATATGTCATTTAAAGATGGCGACTCTCTTTAATCAAGTCTTTCTCTGTGACCTTCTTAAAGTAAAGAAGAAATTACTTTTTTTTTCGTCATGCCTGTCTGCTATAATTATAACCTGTAATATATAGAGTCTGATTAAAAGATGACATTTTACTAGACTGTAATGTAAATATTGTTATCATTAACTGATCAACAAGGTAATTATATTCCCATTCATCACGAAGACCGTTTATAAAATGTATACAGACAATCTTTCTAATTCTATTCATATAAAATCAGGGGAAAATCTATTTTTGGCTTAAAGGAGCTAAGTTTCTAACTCAATATTTTCCATAATATTTGAAATTAAAAACACGAATTAAAATTTAATATTGATCAATTTCAATCAATATATATGTTGTTATCTTGTCGTGAAACTATAGGATCCTAATATCCAATATTTAAGACACAATGAATTATTGAAATAATTTTTAAAATATGGTACACAAGTTGTTAGTCTAGTATAACCATAGAAATGTTAGTCTATAGTATTACCATAGAAATGTTAGTTTAATATAACCATAGAAATGTTAGTCCAGTATAACCATAGAAATGTTAGTCTAGTATAACCATGGAAATGTTAGTCCAGTATAACCATAGAAATGTTAGTCTAGTATAACCATAGTAATGTTAGTTCTAGTAACCATAGAAATGTTAGTCCAGTATAACCATAGAAATGTTAGTCTAGTATAACCATAGAAATGTTAGTCCAGTATAACCATAGAAATGTTAGTCTAGTATAACCATAGACATGTTAGTTCTAGTAACCATAGAAATGTTAGTCTAGTATAACCATAGAAATGTTAGTCTAGTAACCATAGAAATGTTAGTCTAGTATAACCATAGAAATGTTAGTCTAGTAACCATAGAAATGTTAGTCCAGTATAACCATAGAAATGTTAGTCCAGTATAACCATAGAAATGTTAGTCCAGTCTAACCATAGAAATGTTAGTCCAGTATAACCATAGAAATGTTAGTCTAGTAACCATATAAATGTTAGTCTAGTATAACCATAGAAATGTTAGTCTAGTAACCATAGAAATGTTAGTCTAGTAACCATATAAATGTTAGTCTAGTAACCATATAAATGTTAGTCTAGTATAACCATAGAAATGTTAGTCTAGTAACCATATAAATGTTAGTCTAGTATACATGGTGTATGCCCGCCTTCATTAGCCCTATTTATGCAGATTAGATGGATGTTAAACCCCAGTTATATCTACGTTAATGGCAGAACTGCTTCTATTTTCTTTATTTCATTTAATTCATTATATCCCATTGTCTTTTGTTTTATTTTGAATCAACGAGCTAAGACAATTGAACTCGACTAATTTCTAAACTTGTACCATTAAGAACATGCCAAGGGTCTAATTTGTAACTTATTCAATTTATTTAATTTAATACATGTCATTTCTTTTTTGACGGCAGTACACTGCTTATATTTTTTTTATTTATTTCATTTCATTGATTTTCTTAACATTATATTAACCCATTGACTTTTTTTTTTTTTTTGAATTAACGAGCTAGGACTATAACCTGTTGTCTTTTGTTTTATTTATTGGAATCAACGAGCTAAGATTATAACCCGTTGTCTTTTGTTTTGTTTTGAATTAACGAGCTGTAACAATTGAACTCAGCTAATTTCTATACTTTAACCATTAAGACCAGGCCAAGGATGTACTTGACTATTTTAAGCGATTTATTTAGTTTAATACAACTGTTGTTCCGTATTGAAGCTAATAATTGATAAAGACAGAAGAAAATCAATGAAAATGAGTGGTAATAAAACAATAATGTATTGATCTATGTGAAGAAATTATAGAGGAATATATCGGTAATGATTCTATATTTGGACTTCAGAGGTTATAAATTGGGTTGTATTCCAGCGGGATTTAGTCTAGTTGTAGTCAAGACCTTTACTTCTGTTATAAATGAAATGAAATGAAATGGGGTTTAATGTCCTCCTACTGTTCTGCTCCAAACTGGGCTAATGAAGACGGACATACGCCATATAGTGTGCTATGAGGAAAACAGTAGGACGTTAAACCCCACATCACTTTTCATTTCATTTCATTAGCCCAGTAGGAGCAGAACAAAAGGATGTTAAACCCCATTTTATTTCTTTTCATTTCCAATATAGCAGAATAAATGGCTAATATATATATATATATATAT